TAAATAAATAGATAATAAAGCAATTTTGAGCAAATGAAAATTTTCCTACTAAAGCAGCAGGTACAGGGTCAATTATAATTCATAAATATTATGCTATAAAAGAATAATCTCTAAAACATAATACATCTATCACGAAGAATCATGTTAATATAAGCAAAACAGCGTGAAGGATGGGCATGTTACACTAAAGATCACTTGAATAATCTGTTGGGTTCTGAAGGTAAAGAACAACTTTGGTATGTGCTAAAAGGGCACAGACTTTTCCACTATAATTTTAGCAAAACCTTCTTTAGAATTAAAATTGGGTGTTTAGAAATTAGGAAATATCATGTTTCAAGTATGCTTTCTAATGACTGTAAAATGTGTCCTTTTTTTATTTAGGAAACATCACAAGCGTCCATTGACACTATCAGAAGCAACTGGCCTGTTCTTATGTTTTAAAGATCTAACTATACCATGAGCTGACAGCCTCTTCAAATAGCAAGTGCATATAATTGAGCAAAGCTAATTGAAGGTATAAAACCATGTCAGCATGCTGGCTAATATAAAGAGATTGAGAGCCCATTGAAAATTAAGTCAATTGAATTCAAAGTGGTACTACATAATTAATCAAAACCCAGATTATTTCCTTACTAACAACTGAAAGCCAAATCTTTTTTTTTTTTTTTTTTTTTTTTTTTGTCTTTTTGAGACAGGGTCTCCCTGTAGCCCCAGCTGACCTGGAACTCACTATGTAGACCAGGCTGGCCTTGAACTCACAAAGATCTGCCTGCCTCTGCCTCCCAAGTGCTGGGATTAAAGGTGTGTGCCACCACGCCTGGCTGCCACATCTTTTATACTAAAAAAATACATTGCAAAATAATGTTTGTATAATGAAGGTGATTTGTCTACTTTTCACCCTCTACTTATTTTATAATCAATATATTGTTTTGATTTGTATATTCAACGACAAAATATTTAGGATTGAAAAAAATAGAGTAGAGGGTGATGAAAAAGTAGGATCATGGGTAAACCAAGAGACTGTCTTCTCTTGAGCTTTCTTAACGATGTTTGATTTTTGAAGTGGAAATTATGACTCTATCTTACACAGTTTTCAACATGTGCAGAGAAAATAAGTATCAGTGAGAGAGGGTAGAGTGGAATTGAGAGGTTTCTATAGTTTATTCAACTGGAAAAATGTGAAAGTAGTAGATTAAGACAAATTGTGATTCGTGGAACATCTTCAGCAACCATTAAAAAAGCTACAAAGAGATGAAATTACAAACCTATGAATTAATAAAAAGAAAATTCACACAGCCCACAGCAAAACAGAGGTAGGGGAAGAAAAACAAAAAACAGGAAAACCTGAAAGCAAAACTAAATTGGCACATTTAAGTCCTCACATAATCATTAAATGAAAATTATCTTAATCACCAACAAATATATCAGGAGCTTCACAGCGACTTTTGTAAATGACCTTAACTACCTCCTGTCTACATGAAACTCACGTTAAATCTAACAACAGAAGTAGATCTGTGAGCACCAGAAAGTGAATGTCTCCCTGCATTTTCTTATCCAAAAATACCCCAAATAGCTTCTCTAGAGTTTTATGTAGATTTCAGAGATTTATTTAGACTAATATGACTATTTTTAGCATGCAATTCCTTGTGTTATATACTCCAAGTGAAATATTCACAGATAAAATCATCAGTTTCTTTCAATGTAAATATGAATAGATTAACTTAAATATATCCCAAGGTTTTTTCAACTTATTTATTATTGGTGTCTGTGTGTGTGTGCCTGGGTGAGTTTATGTGTATCATGTGCCTGCAGGTGCCTGTGGAGGTCAGAAGAGGGCATTGGATCCTTTGGCGTTACAGGCAGTTGCAAGTCGCTATGTAGTTGCTAGGAGCTGAACTTGCGACTTCTGTAAGAACAAGTGGTCTTAGCCACTGAGTCATCTCTCTAACCCCATAAGATTTCTTTCAAATTAGAAAAATAAAGAGAAAATGAGAGTTGAAGCTGCAGCTCATTGGTAGAGCACTTGCCTAGCACAGTCAAGGCCCTGGGTTCTGTCCCCAAAACTGAAAAAATAAAGCAAATTAAACACCAAGAAGATAGCAGTATATACCTAGTATTCTAATCCAAGACAAAAAACTGGCTGAATGAAGTTGTGCAATCTCACCACTGTTCAAGAGGCTGAGGGAAGAGGATCATGAGTCAGTATCCAGCCTGGCTACAGAAGGAAGCTATCTCACTGTCTCAAAAACTAAAATAAATATTTTTAACTTGGAGGCTGGAGAGATGGCTCAGAGATTATGAGCACTGGCTGCTCTTGCAGAGGACCTGGGTTTGGTTCTCAGCACCCACATGAAAGATAACAACTATCCATAACTCCAGTTCCAGCAGATCTGATGTCGTCTTCTGACCTCTGTGGGCATTGCATGCATAGGTACCCTTACATACATGCAGGCAAAACACTCATACACATAAAATAAAGATAAATATATGAGGAACTTTCTCCATCATCTAGATTGGCCTGTGGACATGCTTGGGGGGCATGTTCTTGATTGCTAATTGATGTAGCAGAGCCCAGCCCACTGTGGGCATTGCAAACTCTAGGCAGGTCGGCCTGGGCTGTATAAGAAAGGAAGCTCAACGAAAGCCTGGCTTGCCAGTAAGCAGCATTCCTCCATGGTCTGTGCTTCAGTTCCTGTGTTCAGATTCCTTCCTTGAGTTCCTGCCCTGGCTCCCCTCCGTGATGGCTGTAACCTGTAAACTGTTTCAGTTTGTAAGCTGAAACAAACCCTATTCTCCCCAAACTGCTTTTGGTCATTGTGTTTCTCACAGCAACAGAAAGCAAGCTAGGACAGAAGTCCAATGCTTTGCTATATACCAGGTTAAATATTGTGTATTTTTAAACTAGGACTGGCATTTAAATCAGTAGACTCTGTGTAAAGTAGACTACTCTATAACATGGGCAGACCTCATCTAGGAAGTCGAGGCCAAAGAGGAAAGATTGAGATTTCCCAAAGAGGTAATTCTCTCTGAGACCAAAAGACAGAACTCCCTACCCTCCCACCCCAGGTCTCCAACTTGCTGCCTTATGGCTTAGGGCCTCAGACATAACTACAGTACTTACCTGTACGTCCAGGCTGTTCCACATTTGAGATTTCCTGGTCCTTGCAGCTGCATAAGCCTGTTTCTGAACATATCTCTCCTCTCCCCATCTCCTTTCTCTTTTTCTCCCTTCTCCCTTTCTTTCTCTCTCCCTCCCTTTCTCTTGGGTCTGTCTCTCTGGAGAACCTATCAGCATTATGCTAAGAGAGAAAATGGATCATTCATGAAACAACTGACATATTTTAATAAAAATAAACATTAAAAATGGGAGCATTGCTGGGTGTTGTGGCACACACTTTAATTCCACCACTTGGGAGGCAGAGGCAGGCAGATTTCTGTGAGATTGAGAATAGCCTGGTCTACATAGCAAGTTTCAGTCCAGCTAGGGCTATAGGGAGACCCTGTCTCGAAACAAACAAAATTAAAAGAATAGGAAGCAAGTCGCCCTAAACAGGAAATTTATAACACCTCTTCTAAGGCTCAGGGAACACAGAAAAGAGGGGGTGGGAAGAATGCATGAGCCAGAAGATAGGGAAAAGAGCTATGAAATACTATCTTCAGGCAATGGGCCTACACAAGACTGTGCGCATCAACAGTCAGGAATCAGGAAGGGGTTCATGGCATGCTAATCCTCCCCGAAGACCTGTTGGTGACTGATGGATTCTGGGAAAGGGGCAGTAAGTCTTTAATTGTGCATCCAGTGGTGAGCCCACCAGGCTCCAACTGATAGCTCCACACCTGTAGCCACACAGACAGTCTTGGTTAAAATTGGTGGGTCACTAAACAAATGACATGAATGTGGGGAAAGATCAGATAAGAAGGAAGGGGGATGGCAGAAGTAGGAAGAAATTAAGAGAGGACGGAGAAGTAAACAGAATGCACTATAGCCATGTATTAAATTGTCAAAGAATGTATTTAATCAATTAAAATAATGTCATAATGGGGGATGGAAAGATGGCTCAGCAGTTAAGAACATTAGCTGCTTTTGAAGAGGACCTAGTTTGGGTTCTCAGCATCCATAAGGTGGCTGACCACTGTCATTAATTCTACTAGTTCTAGGGGATCTGATGTCCTCGTCTGGCTTATGCAGAATTTTCATGCACAGGGGCACTTACATACATGCAGATAAAACAGACTCGTACACATAAAAATAAATTTTTTTAAAAATCATATTTTTCATACAAATATTTTCATATAAAAGAATGAAGAAATTTAAATTATAAATATACATATAGTATTTGAAAGAGAAATCAAATGTTTTCAGAAAGGCAAACCAGGATGTGGTAGGATAAGAATAAAAGAAAATCAGAGACTTAATCTCAGAGTCCCAACATCACTAAGACGTCTATGTCTATAACCAAACAACATAAAATAAGAAGTGTTGGAGAGGACATGGTGGGTGGCTCCTGTACTGATGCTGAAATTGAAAGTGGTAGAGCTGCTGTGAGGGTTTGTTTCCTCAAACGATGAAACAGGATTACCATGTGGCCAGAAGTTCCACTTCTAAGTGGATGTCCGAAGAATTACAGACAAACTCCAGCAGATTCTTGTATATCCATGTGCACTGAGTGTTTCTCACACAAGCCAAGGGGCAGAAACAGCCCAACTGAATACAATTACTGTGTTGTGATGGTTAGTTTTCATTGTCAACTTGACACAATCCAGAGTCACCTGGGGAGAAGGTCTCTTCGAGGGAGTGTCTAGGTCAGGCTGGGCTGTGGACATGTTAATGCGAGATTATCTTGATTGTGTGATTGAGGTGGGAAGACCTGTAGTGTGGGCGGCACCGTTCCCTAGGCAGGAGATCCTAACCATGTAAGAGAAAAGAAAGTAAGCTAAGCACTAGAAGCCTGCTTACATAATTCCTTCTCTCTCTGCTCTTGACTGTGGATGTGACCAGCTGTTTCAAGTTCCTGTTGCCTTGACTTCCCACCAGTGGTGGACGGTAACCCAAAAGTGTAAGCCAAAATAAGCCCTTTTTCTCCTAAGTTGCTTTTGTGAGGGTATTTTGTCACAGCAACAGGAAACAAAACTCACTATGATAGACACAAGAATGGAATATCATTCAGCCATAAAAAGGAATGATAATCTAAATATAATAGATGAACCTTGAGACAACATGTTAGGTAGACTAAGTCAGAGACAAGGGACAAGTATCCTCCTATATGATTTATTTCTATGGCTATCAAGTGGATCCTATGATTCCACTGATATGAAATGTCTATAACAGGAAAATCAGTAAGATGAAGTATATTAGAGTTGAACAGAGACCAGAAGTAAGAGAAAGAATGTGATGTTACTGGTTAATAGATGCAGAGTTTGAACTTAGAGTGGTAAGATGTGGAAAATCAAAATTACATTTGAATTTTTATGCTATAAAAAGTTGTAGTCAGGGCTAGAGAGATGACTCAATGGTTAAGAGCACTGGTTGCTCTTGCAGAGGACTCGGGCTTGGTTCCCAGCACCCACATGGTGGCTAACAACCAGTTCCAGGGGATCTGACACCCTCTTTTGACCTCTGAGAGTGGTCATGACATGGGTGCACCTACCTACATACAGGCAATACACTAATACACAAAAAAATAAAAATTTTAAAAGTTGTAGCCAAGTAATAGCAAAAGAGAGTATTTAAAACTTACCTGTTTAGACATATTTTCTGAAAATACTCGTGATTTGTCTTTTAAGCATGTGACAAGGTCTTTATAAATTTCACCTTGTCGCTCATAATTAATTTCCCCCTCCTCTTCTGTTTTGCCCTTTGGGAGGAAAAGTTTGGAAGAATGATTGTTACAGTCAGTATAGGAAGCCCATCAATGTGTCACAGTCTAAGCATATATTTGGTGGTTTTGATTAAATTTTTGACAATTTCAAACATGTATGTGATACACTCTGACTACTCTCACCCCCACCCTCTGTTATCCCCCTCCCACCCTATCAATCACTCCTCCTCCCTACAAATCCCCTTCCCAAATTATTTTTTTTTCTCTATAGGACGCATATGGCAGTCTTTGTGTATGACTTATATAGGCAAACCCCTTCTCATTGACTCCATCCATTCATCAATCATCCATTCATTCATCCATTCATCACTCATGTGCCAAGTGCCTCCTCTGTGCATGTAGAGCTCTGCTCTCCAGCAGAGAAGAACTCCCTTCCACCTGCTCTTCTCTGCTAAGAAAATACATTATGACTTCGAGAACCGTAGCTGATGAAGTCATAAAAGGCCTGAGGATTAGAATTTTACCAAAAGTCTTTCTTTGTGTGTAGCATCCTGCTACAAGTTCATTTTTAGGGCCAAAACCTCTGAAGACCCTCCTACTCTCTACCCCTCTGTTCTTGTCCCCTCTTCCTCCTGCCTCTGTCTTTCGTTCATTTCCTTTTCTTCCCTATTCCATAGTCTATCATAAGAGATTATAGAAAAACACACAACAATGCTGTGTCTTAAACTTTTCAGCAATTAACATATATTTTTCTGGTTCTCACTTTTTCAGGTTTTTTAAATATGAGAGAAATATTTAATGTTTCCCTACTAAACAAAGTTATTCATAAGCAGATCAATGGTCTTTGATAGAAATAAAAATCCTCTCTATAAAAGTCCTTCTTTCATCTTATACTAAGAAATTAAATCTGTCTAAAATATCAAAACAAAACGAACAGCAGAATTATGGCCTACTGCCTCCATGCAGAAATAAGCCAAGTTAAATGCTACTGAAGAAAAAACACACAAAGGTTCCAGCATTTTCCAGCAAGCCGACCTAGATGTGGTATCAAGCCACCCCTTGTGAAAGCTGGGTTGGCAGTCAGGACTTGGGTCCTCCTTGAAGACGTGTGCTTGTGAGTCCCAAGTTCACAGTGAAGATTCTGAGAACTGGATTTTGCTCGAAAGTCAACTAAGCTCCTAGATCAATGACTCAAGATGAGGCCAAAATCCCCATGTCCTGATCTAGGGAACTCGGTAGCTATGTGCTGCTGATCTTCAACTCAGAGCCACCTGCCCAGACTTTCTTTGGGATCTTATGGCTGGAAATGACTTTTCTGGAAAAAGCCTTCTTCTTTAAAAAAATAGAACATGGGGAACTATGGGACTGACTCCTGGAACACCATCTCAGCTTATTTACAATGTAAATAAGATTACTAGGCCTTGGGCTTCTCTTGTAACCTAAGCAAAGCTCTAATCCCTCCTGACCCCTTACCTTCCCTTGACCCAGAACAATGCATGTGAGTGTATGTTGTGGATGTCAAGCACTGCAAGCCATGGACACTTGTTGGAAGCAACAGACTGTCCCTTCTGTGTAGCAAGCAGTAAGTGGGATTAGACCAACAGTACTTGTGAGCGTGAGTGCTGGTTTAGGTCAGTGGGCATCCAAAAGGGAAAAGTCCCTCATAAGACAAATTCTGTCTTTTCCTTCTCCATTTCATGCTGGATGTATGGTTTCAATAAAAAGGAAGCAGGGCCTTTGTTCAAGAACACAGTTCCAAGAGAAATCTGAAGGAACCAATTCTCAGAATAGTCTAGGCCCCCACTCTTGGCTTAAATGGCTGCTGAGTCAGTTGTTTTTATTCAGGCATCATCATCATGTGGTATCATTTCCATACTGGGAATCTGAACTCAGTTTCTCTTCTGGCTGGACAGCTGCTTTATGAAAGCTGTCTGAGCTCAAGCTGAAAGCAGCACCACCGAGAAACAGCCCCTCCCCACTGCCTGAGCCCCAACTGCCTGGCACTCTTCCCACTTGCTTCCACACTGGAGAGCTCCTGCTGATCCCTGAACTCTTAGGATGAAAGTTGGAGTTATTACTTCTGAATTGCCTCTTTTCTTCTTTCATTTTCTTTCCTTTCCTTTCCTTTTATTCCCTTTCCTGCCTTCCTCCCCTCCCCTCCCCTCCCTTCCCTTCCCTTCTTCCTTTCCCCTCCCCTCCCTACCCGTCCCTCCTCCCTTTCCCCGCCCCTCCCTTCCCTTCTCCCCCTCCCCCCCCCTCCCCTCCCCTCCCCCCTTCCTTTTCTTTCCTTTTCTTTCTTTTCTTTTTTTCAATACCCATGTAACTAATCTGGAAACCAATTATGTTAAAGGGATCATAGTTTGGGGAAGTAGGGTGGGTTATTGTGAAGCCTTTCCCTTAAAACCCTGGTGAATGCCCTGCAGTGATGACACCAAAGCTAATTCTGAGAAAGTTTTGAATTTGCCCAGCAGATGCACAAGAAAGGACTCAGATTCCATCCCTCAGGACAGTCTTCCTTACTGTGACCATCAAGAGACAACCCATAATACAACAGCACTCACAGATAGCACAGAACCCCACATCTGGATTTTGTCCTTTGTGCCTTTAATCCCAGCACTCGGGAGGCAGAGGCAGGCGGATCTCTGTGAGGTCAAGGCCAGCTTGGTCTACATAGTGAGTTCTAGGACAGCTGGGGCTACAGGGAGACCCTGTCTCAAAAAGACCAAAAAAAAAAAAATTACTTACGCCGTTTAAATATACCCCTTCCGCACTGCAGGTAATGCACAAAGTTTCAGTGTCATGTGGCTTCACCAGTACATAACAGATTTCCCCTCGAATCTGCCTCCATGGTGGGGCGCGACACCCATTTGAAAACACATAATCTGAAACCAGTGATCAAGCCATCAGTAGACATTCAACTTATCACGTTGTAAAATGTATTGGTTTCAATAAAACAAATACCACAGAAAATTGACACTTTCGCTATAAATATTCAACTCTACTGCAGCCATGGAAAGTGAAATAGAAACATAATAATGAAAATGTGAATAAGGTAAGATGGAGCTGCGCAGATGCCAACCTGAAGTGTATTCAATGGATTCCAACACCGTTTGTTCTCCTTTTCCCGAGAAACGTTTGAGCAGTTCTATATCTTTCTTAAAAGTCCCTGGATTTAAATATATTTCCCTGAAATAAATGTTAAGGAATTAAGTGCTTTGAAATAGACTCTACAGGAAACATACATTTAATTAAGTCAACGGAACTCTTTCCTATTTGTAATTAATATTGTAGCTAATTGTAACCATGTTATAATCATGTGTCAATGTTGGAAAAAAACATCAAGAAGTTCATGTCAACCTAGACTTTATATAGATACAGAAAATATGTGAGTGTGTGTGTGTGTGTGTATGTATATGTATGACATGGACACAGAATCAAAACTGTCTAGAGAGACAAAGGGGATCAATGCGAGAGATGCAAGAGGGAAGGGTTTCTCAAAAGGGGGATATGAGCAGGAGTACCCTCAATGCACAATACGAACATATACAAAAGCTTGAAGAAATAAATTTTAAGAGAAGAAAATCCATGTTGAATATCATATTAAATATACTCAAACGTTCATTTCTCTTTTTTTACATTTGTTTTCTTTTACTACATTTTTTAATTTATTTGAGCACTTGCACATACATGTGTGAGCATGCATATACCATGGCACATGTGTAAAGATCAGAGGGAAATTTGCAGAGTTGGTTCTCTCTTTCCACCATGAGGATTTAAGGATTGAACTCAGGTCATCAGGCTTGGTGACAGCCATCTTTACCTGCTAAGCCGTCTCGCCAGCCATCAAATATTCATTTTTAATTATTGTACCACACTCCTAAAAAAATACTAGAAAATGAACATATTTTGAACTACACAAACTCTTACATGATAATTGTACTATCATTTAACAATTTGTGTAATTACCTAAAGAGTCTTTGAAAATACCCAGCTATTTGATGTCTTCAGAAATGGATGAAACCCCAAAAAATGTTCTAGAAATATTAGCTTAGTGTTAATAAATCCAACAGAACTGAATTCTTGTTTCATTACAATGAACCATTAATGCAATAGCGATAGCCTCTATATTTTTTTTTACTTGCATTATTTTGTAACTGGGCGTGAAGCGTTTCTCTTAGCAAAGACTCACAGTGAAATGTGTTTTAGGGAATGGTTGAGTAGATGCAGATCCAGTTGCTTCAGCAGTACGGCAATTTTCCTTTTAATATAGGTCTCGTGTTCATCATCTTTGGTGATTTTATCAAGAATTTTTAAGGAAGAGGTGTCTTCTATCATTTCACCATAATCTGTGCCCAAGATTTTTACTATAGGATCTCTGTTAGCTGACAAAATAATAAATAAATAAATAAATAAATAAATAACAAATAAATAACCAGTATTACCCAGCATGACAGCTATGGAGATGAACAAATCCCATCAAACCTTCCTTTACTGTGTTTCTTTCATTCCCTTTCCTCTGGGCAAAGCCATTAGAATCAACCTGTACTGCTGAGCGCCTTTTGTGCTGGGGTGGGCTATGCTCAGATTTTTATGTGGATGTAGGGTTTTCATGCTTGGGCCACAAGTGCTATTACCCACTGATATTTTTGTTTTTGAAAGAGCAACTTCCCACCTCACACAGTAGACAGAATTCAGGTACCTCATGCTTGGGATCCACTGGTCTTCTAATTCTCAACACCCACCACAAAAGACACATCATCACCTATGATTACTGATGGGAACTATAATCACATTATTTTTCACATTACATAATTAAATGATAGTCATGTCATTGTGTATCGTTACAGAGTTCAATGCCTATAACTATTCAAACTGTTGTGTACCTTGCAGTATTCCAGGGAGAGGGTGGACTCAGGTGCTGGTCCTTGTAACCTGCCTTCCAATATGACCTTACAAACTACTAGGCCCCTGGCCCCTGGCAGGCCCAGTGGCCATTTTCTAAAATTAGAGACCTAGAAGTCTAATAGTAGTAACAGAGCAGACCTTTCCATTTGAAGCAGAAATTGGATGTGAGCATTAACAGTACAGCCAAGGGAATCAACAGCACTCTCATCAAGGGATACATACATTTACCTTGTTCTCAAGTGACTGTAATAAATAATACACCCCTGCCCCCTTCTGCCCCGCAAGATTATGTGTCTGAATGTTCAGATTGCAAGTGGAGAGTGTGTATCACCTTCGACACAGGCTTGGGCCTCCTGAAGCTTGGTATCTTTGGCAATTAACAACAACTGTGACAGCTGTCCAAAGCTCCTGACTTTAATTTGAGATGCAGAGAGAAACAGCAAAGGTTGTCCATTTTTATCAGCTTCTTCTGATTTGGCTGTTGTTTCACTACAAAATGGGGAGGAAATGAAAGCCGAAGTTACCTGCGTGCCAGAAGTTAAGCTTCAGACATTTAGACAGATTCTTCCCAAGTCTCCAGGAACTAGACATGCCTCCTGGTGGACTCTCACCTTCTCCTCCACACTCACACATCGGTGCTCAGTTCCCTGAGCTCTGGCAGCCATAAGAAACAGCAGGCCCTACCCCGAAGACCTTTTCAAGCAAGTCCTGAAGTTGTGACTGACTAGTCACATCTTTCTGTGTCCTCTAGCTAGTTTCTGGTGTGTTTTGAAAAAATCATTAGTTCTATAAAATCTCTCACACTTTGAGAGGTCTCATGTTATTTTATTTATAAAATTTTCATACCACAGTAACTAGACAGAGGTTAGGAATTTTCTGGGCTATACTGTTTATGAACAGAAAGGCAACTAGATCCTTCGGTGGATTATCTCCCCACTCTAAACCCCTTAGCATCACAGTCAGTTTTCTTTAAATGGCCTCTCCCTGATCAGAAATTATTGGGTGTTCTTGGTTTGTGTTTTTACTCACTTTTAATGATTTTTTAGGTTGGCATTTAAAAATATTTAAAGAGTATCATGAAAGTGACATTGTTATAGATTTCTACCATATACAACATAAATGAAATGGCCTAGGTTCTTAAATTACATATTATCCACATTATTTTATTGCATGCTAATATCCCTGATAAAACTGCTCACATCTTTTAAAAAATATTTTATCATTTTTATTTTTTATATGTATGAGTGTATTGCCTGCATGTATGTAAGTGCGTCTGTGTCATGCAGTGCCCGTGGAAGTAGGAAGAGGGTGTAGGATCCTCCGGAACTGGAGTTACAAATGATTGTTAGCCACCATTTGGGTGCTACGTCTTGGGCCCAGGTCCTTTGCAAAAGCAGTCAGTGCTCTTAACTGCTGAGCCATCTCTCCAGACCAGAACTGCTTGTATCTTAAGACCTGATGATCTAGTCTATGTTGCAATGAGGGAAGTTAGTGTAAAGTGTTCCTAAGTCAACATAAAGAGCAAATCGACAGGTCCAGATAGTGCTCCTGACACTATCTGTGTTAGCTTTTGGTTACTGTAACAAAATACTGGAGATAACTTGAAAGAGTAAAGGTTGGTTTTGGCTCACAGTTTCTGAGGTTCTAGTTCACAAATTGTTTGGAACTGTGGCAAGACAGTGCATCATGGGAGGGAGTGCAAAGAGGGGCAGCCCACATACCTCATGGAGTCCAAGAAGCGGTGAAAAGGAAGAAGATGGGCTGAGACCTGGCACCCCCACTCGGACTTACGCTTCCAGTGACCTAAGACCTCCCAGTAGGCCCATCTCTAAAGGTCCGTCCGTCTCCCAACTGCAGCACCCTAAGGACCAAGGCTTTACGCAGGAACTTTAGGGAGACATTTATTGAAACCACGGTACTATGCCTTTAGAATAAAAACAAACAGAGCCTGTGAGAGGAAGAATAACAAGGGCTTGTGAGAGGAAGAATAATAGACTCTTGAAATACTCCCGTTAGATTGGGGGAAAGGGGGAAATTTTGCAGATGGATTAAGTTGAAGATCTTGATACAGGAAGACAGCTCTGCATTGTCTGGGGCAAACAGATTATAAGGGTCCTTACAGGAGGAGAGAGGAAGGTCAGGGTCAGAGAAAATGATATAATGACAGAAACCGAGGTGAGAGCAATGTGTGGCCACAGCCAAGAAATGAAAGAGCCTTCCAGGAACTGGAAAAGGAAAGAATAAATTCTCCTAGAGTCTCCAAAAGGAATGCACCCTTCCAACATCTTGATTTTTGCCCTGCAGGTTGATTTTAGACTTTACCTTCCAGAACTAGAGTAAACCAGCTGTTTCAAGCCATTAGGTTTGTGGTCATTTGTGGCAACAGCAGTAGGAAGCTGTAACAGGGTCTCTCTCAGTACACTACAACCTGGTACCCATGGACCCCTAGTGTCTCAGGAGTAACTGCTTCTAGAAGATATTCAATGACTATCCATGGGATAAATGGATGAAAGAAACATTTGTAGACTTGGCCGTGATATGAGTGTGGAAACTGTCTTCTACAAAATAAGTTTCTAGAACAGTTTTTAGAATGGAGGACATTTCTTAGTGCCTATAACTAAAGGTGACTCACTTAAAGGGCAGGTCACTCAGTGCTAAGTGGATGGCAACAGGGCTGAGCCAAAAACACAGTCATTGAACTAAGAACTCGAAAGTCCTCGTGGGAAACGGGAACACTGAAGGTCACAGGGGACATTTTTCACTTCTCACCAGTTAAAGTTGATAATTCATCAGCAAAGTGGGAAATAAAATGTCAGATCTACAGAGGACACCCAAGAGGAAGCTCCAGTTTCAGCGTTTCTAATTCCTAAAGAATGAGCTCTTGGAAAGAAAAATACTGCACTGAGTCAGGAAGATGGCTCAGCAGGTCAAAACCCTTGCTCTTGTCAGCCCGATGACCTGAGTTCCCTCAGTCCCTGGAACCCACAGTGGAAGGAGAGCACCGACTCCTGAAAGCTGTCCTCTGACCTCTACACATGTTGTAGTAGATGTAGAACCACCCCCCTTCAAACACATATTCTGTAATAATAAATAAAAATTGTTTTAATTTAAAAAGGAAGAAAGTGTTGATAATAAAGCCCACTGTCTGGCTGGAAAGATTTTCAAACTGGAACTAGGGAGGGGCCTTGGAAATGCTCCACTGACTCCACAGAGCAAGAGAACAGGAAGGTGTTTTTCATCTTTAATCCACACTGTCTGCATTAGTGTCCCAAGCACAGTAGTTATTCAATAAATGTACATTTCAATGATAACATAGGAAAGAAAGCTCGGAAATTTCATACATCAGGGACAAAAAAGAAAAGCAAAGAGTCCATAACAAAACGTAGAGAAGGGCTAGAACCGTAGTTCAGTAATGGCGCACTTGCCTGACATGGGCAGAGACTTGGGGTTCCACCTCCAATACTGCAAACCAAACCAAAAATTAAAATTCCAACCATCAGCCTTACTACTGAAACTTGGAAATTTTATCAAAATACAATTGCTATCTCTTAAAACACCACAATTTTGTAGGCTGGAAGCAGCATTAGGAATCATATAATCCAACCCTTTGGTGATAGTGATCATAAGGAACGATCCTAAGTAGGATATGCGCTTTACAGGTGCATTGGAGGGGACAATGGCCGAAGACTGTTCAGCGGACCTGCCTTCCTAACCATACGGTACTATCAGTATATAACTGGGTCCAACTCAAACATATTACGGAGACATAGTAGAATGGGATCTGCAAGTAGAATCCAAAATCAAAACTCACAGAGCTTGCAGAGCAGGAAAGACAAGACAGGCAGCAACATGTTCAACGAAGTGATTTGAAATCACTACTCGGGTTACAAATTTCCTAGCCTGGGCTCTGAGGGAGAAAGCACCTCAATTCCCTGATCTTACCTAGTTCCACCTCATCTTATCTAAGAACAGAAATAAGAAGGCTCCTACCTTCCACCTGCTCCAGGTTCCACTACCAGCGGCTCCCAGCTGTAATCGGGAACCTTTCCTTACAGTGAAGAGCGGTGAATGCTGACTTGGCTCCTCAAAATGCAGACTACGTGATGGTTGTGTGCCCAGCACTAAACATTTATGCCACACCCTCTAAGGCTTAAAGAATACTGCAGAAGAGGGGGTGGAAGTATGTAAGAGTAAGGAGATGGGGCGAGAGGCTGTGAACAGGCATCCCCTAGACTTCCTACAACCACAGCAATCAGGAACTCACAGCACAAGACATACCCCATCAACAATCAGCCATGGAAGGAGAGGGGCTCTGAAAGCTCTACCCTTTACCTTTGAACTACTGGCTATTAATAGATTCTGGGAGAGACAGAATCACTGTTGGGAGGAGGAGGGAAGACAGGAGTGGTAGGGATGTGGATGCATTGTGTACATGTGTAGAATTGTCTAAGAGTTGGGCGTGGATATACACACTCAATGCCAGCACTCAAGAGGTAGAGGCAGGTGGATCTCTGTGAGATTGAGGCCAGTCTGGTCTACAAGGTCTACAATAGTGAGTTCTAGGCCAGCTGGGGCTATAGGGAGACCCTAAGAAAACCAAGAAAAAAAAAGTCTAAGAAAAAATGTAATTAATAAAAAATTTAAAAGATCAAAAACAATTGCAAATGTTAGTAGAAACCAACAATTTCTGTGGAAATGAAAGTAATTTCCAAAAAACTTAAACATGTAGAAATGATGACAAACATCCCTACAGGATGAATATGTGGGACGTGGTTCCAGGGGGAATGATGAACTGTGCATCATGGGACAAGTGGTGTGCCAATCTGGTCAATTAATAACAACCCACACAAAAGGCAACAGGAGAGTGAATGAAACAGAGACCTTTCCAGTACGTGACTCAAGGATCAGTTTCAAGCACCAGCTGCTCACTCACCAGGAGTCTGATGAAATGCATAATGGCTACTTACAGATTGCAGCAAAACTTCAAATACAAATACAGTCCCATCAACAGCTGTAGAGACCTACACAAGAGACCCTTTACCTACACTGTGAACTTGAAGCAGAGAAAACTGAATGGAGAACGAGAGACTGGAGATAAAGGGGTGTCACACAAAGAAGCATCTACCTGCATTCTCAACATCCAAGGAGATTCCCGAGTGGTAGAAACAAAAGACACAGTCAAGTCCTTCTTGACAACTTGGGCTTTTCACGCGGACACACAGACCTGAGTCCTGTTTGTGAGAAGATGTCACCTTAGATGACATAGGACGAATACGAGGGGACAGGAGCTCATCCAGAAGCTGGCATGGCCAAGAACGAAGGATAAAGTAGTTGGACTCACCGCTGATAGACACTTCTGGCCATTGAGGGCATCCCTGGCTTGTATCAGTTATTATGTTACCAAATGCTATGAGTTTGATAGTAAATGTCCTTCAAGGGCCCATTTGCTAATGGCTGAGTCACCAACCTGTTATGGTACTGGCAGAGCATAAAGGAGACAGGGCCCCTGGAAGGAAATAAGCCACCAGATGTGGTGGTTGGTGACAAAATCTAGAAGCACCTGGGAAAGGGGCCTCTGGGCATGACTATGAGGGATTTGGCCTGACTAGGACCCTGGCTGTCTAGATACAGGGAGCTGAGCAGCAGTAGGCAGGCCTTTATCTCCCTGCTTCCTGACTGTGAATGCCATGTGACCAGCTCCCTCAAGCCACTGTGACTTCCCCTCCATGATGGACTTTAACCAGGAACTGTGAGTCAAATAAACCACTTTTCCCTTAACTTGCTTTTGTCAGTGTTTTATCACCGCAGCTGGAAAAGAAACTAGGACACAGAGGTATACTCTTCAAGGGGACAGTGGGACTCTGTGCACTTCAGCTTTCTTTCTTAGCTTTCCAGATACTGAGGTGAACACGTTTCTTCCACCACATGTTTACTACCTCACCACAGACCCAAAACAATGGGACTGTGACCATGGTTTCAGTCACTGAAATCATAAGCCAAAATAAATTCTTTCCTCTTTTCAAGCTGATCATCTCAGGTATTTTGTTACAGTAACAGAGAGGTAGCTATGGGTTGCTGAACATTCTTTGATTTGTGTGTAAAACAAGACAGAGTTAAGACCTGGATGAGCCAAGTATTTGGTATTTTCTATTATTGCCAATTTCTCAGTTTCAACTTGCCTTCTTCAAGGCAGTCAGTGCCCATCTGGTTTTCATCAGAGCCACACAAGAATGGTTTAGTTCCCAATAAGAGATACCGCTGAGCCTCTCTCATCCCTTCCAACATCACAAATATCAGTAAAGGTCAGAAGCAAAACACATGTGGCATCAAAGTGTCCAGTCATCTGATTACAAGGGAACAGCATGCAGAAAGACTGCAGGCAGACACGTAAATATGGATATGAGTAAAAACAAAATGACAAGAGAAAGAAAAACAGTGACACGTTTGAGGAGGGTGTCACCTCCACACACACACACATACTAAGTAGGAGACAGATGCTGTAATGCTTGGACTTGGAACACAGAAGTAATGCAAAGGCCAGATATGGGGCAGTCTTAATTTTCTTTTCTGTCATCTACGGTAAAGCCATCTTTGTACGAAGTAGTTAATATGTTTCTAATTGGTTTTGCAGCTGAGTTCATCTTTCAAACTTTAGAAAAAAAAGATGGAACTTAGGTGGAAGCAAGCAAGGACTGGGCAGCCGTCCACAAATGACAAGTTTTGGGGAAGATAGTGACCCTTCCAAATGCGTTCCATACCATTAAAAGCTCAAAAATTCAGAGGGAGACCATGGTCAACACTAAAGAGCTCTTAGGGCACTTCAAGAAGGACCACGGCAGTTCTAACAAAGAAATCTCAGCTTTATTGCCACAAATAGTGCAAAATAGAAGGCAGAAAGAGGTATCTATAAGGAGGCTTCGGCTAGGCTAGCTAGGGAACTGCTTTTGATGAGATCAGACTTTCAAAGATAATACACAAACCCAAAGAGGGACAAGGCTATGGGGAAGAGAAAGCCTGAGTTGCAGGATTAACTGAGGGTGTGCCCCCAAGCAGATACATGCATGTGATGGCTGATTACACAGACACAGCATACAGAGATACCTGATCATATTAAACATACCCATGTTCAAAAGATAAATTGATACTCCACCTGTGGAGCAGGTGGTAGGATCTTTATAAGCTTCATATTTGAAAGATTCTCCCTGTGAAGAAGATTCTCCCTTAAGGGACGAATGAAAATCAGTAGCTGAGCACACACCAACACACCCAAAGCACTGGGTTCAAGTCTCTCTCAGGGGTATTGAGCAAATTTCTCTGCCCTCCTCCTCACTCTAGAGAATGAGGCATTTTTGGCTCCAGCAAAAGTCACATGCCAGTGGCTGCAACTTCCAGAAGGTGAAACAGATGAGTGGAAAGGTCAAAGGTTAAAGCAGAAAGAGGGGGTAGATACTGGAGTTGAGATCTGGAAAATGCATCCTCTATCAAAAGAGAATGAAATTTAAATTTAAAAAAAGATGAATTCCATGTTTACCACCTGAAATACCCTTAAATTTCCTATGTCTCCACTTCTCAATTGTGTAGGGGATTGCTAAGATTCAAGGAGGCTATTGGCTTGCAACAAGCCCACGACCAGTCAATTAAAATATGGAAAATGCGGATAATAAATTCTAGAAGCAGTTAAGAGGCTTACCTGACAATATAACCTGATTCAAATGCTGAAGCCTCCAAATTTGTTTTCCACTCAAGTGGTTCTACAAAAACAAATTTTGCCTCCTGCAGATATTTATAAGTAAAAGACTCCACGAACTTAACAATTTCTTGCAATATTGATTCATTCAGAGGGGTAATTTCCAGGGTTCTAGTCCCATACCCAGCCGCAGTCCACTGTGCAGATCTTGTCAGCGCCACACCCATGAGGTCTGCTAGTACTGCAGGCTGATCAGGGTCCACACACTACAGCAAAGTAGAAAGAGTCAGAGGCATCCATGCCACGCCAACATTTTTTCACTTTCAAGATTTTATGCTAGTACTATGTTAACAAACATATATTCCAAAAAACTTTTAAGCTTTATTTTTGAGAATTTCTTACATGAGTGTTGCATTTGCATTACTTCTATCCCTCCCAGTGCCCCTCCAACTCCTCCCATGTACCCCCCAACTCCTCAATTTCTTGTCCTCTTCTTTGATTATTGTTGTTACAAACGCATACATACATTTATAAATATACCTATATACATAATGCACTGAGTCCATGTATTGATGCTCAGATGAAATTTTAATAATCTAATGGTTCCTTAGTGCAATAAGATAGTTAAGCAGCTTTACATATAATTGACTGTTGAAGGATTTTCCAGTATCAGCTTTCTCTAAAATTAATAATGTGTTTCTAATTTCCCATAGCCTAAGAAAAAGAACAGCTACACGGAAAGCCCAAAAAGAAAACTCCAAGAGTGGAAAAACAGAATCGGAGGAGGTTGGCAGCAAGAGTTTTGCCTCCCAGCTCTGAGATGAGTGCAACTCATCTGAGCCTCACATCATTTAGAATTATGCTGTTAAACCAAACTCTGTTTTCTGACTTTCTTATGGTCATAATATAAATGTGTGTAGTGAAGGCAGACAAACCCTCTTCTGAGAGTTTTAAGATCCTCACAAGACTATGGGGTTAATAAGAAATAGAATTGGAGTGTGATTGTAAATTAGTCTTTTGTTTTGCTGAAAGTTATCACCAGAACATCCATATAATCTGAGTCCTGTATTCCCTTCCCACATAAATCATGTGTAAAATAGAAATATTTTATTGTAACTCAGCTTTCTTAAGAGTAAATGTGACAGATGTAGGAATGGGGAGAGTGTTTTTAGCCTATTTATCTAAACTATCAAAACAGTTATTAGCAATAAAATTTAAAGCAAATCCAAATGAAATATATTTCAGTTTGGCTAAACAGAAATTAATCTTTAAAAGATCTTTGAAACAATGACATTATCTACAACAGTAAATCAGAGCAAATTTAGAAAACAAGTTAGCAAATATTATTTATAATCTATATTTTTTGAAATATCACTGATCATTAAACCTTCCTTCCACATTATTATATAAATGTTCATAAAATTAGATATAGAATACATTAAGCTTTTCTCATCTGCTACTTTATGAAAGGCTTGGAAATGTAAGATTTTACTTTCTGTACACATCTTGAAATTCAGTAACATTTCAGGAGCTCTCAATGGATTGCTGCTTCCTGCTGGGAAGCAAAATCGAAATACTGTATATATGTCTATTAATAGTTACAAAATGACAGGAAGGGACACTGCTGGCCTTTAGTGATGGGTGCCAAGGGTACACATGCCCTTATGCAGGAGAGTACCCAGCAGGGAGAGCTCTGCTGGAACCTCCAGGCATCTGGTAGGTGGAAAACTTCAGATAAGTAATACTGCTCTAGAATTTTTCTCCACTTCATCAAAGTTACAAAGTGGTTTTCAGTTTTGCATACACTGACTATTTCAGGACTGTAATTTTCATATAAATGAAGCAAATCTTTACATCCTTTTTTCTGCATGGAACATTACTAAGAGCTCAGCATCTTGGGAAACGATGCTGTGATGTTAGTCTCAGCCTGCTTTGGGGGATACACCACATTCAGGCAATTCTACCTCAGGTGGGGGCCTATGATAGTCTTCCAAGAGAGTCTAGTGTAGTGTATCCAAACATTTACAATTATGTTCCTTCACAGAGCACTATCAATGTTTAAAACTACATTATGCATGTAAGACTGTTACCTGTAATCTTAATTTCAGAATACACTAAAGTATCATTACAAAAAGTTTGTTATAAAACTCATGTTGGATAAGACAGAAAGCTCTCTCTCTCTCTCTCTCTCTCTCTCTCTCTCTCTCTCCCTCCCTCCCCACACACACGTGTGTGTGTGTGTGTGTGTGTGTGTGTGTGTGTGTTTGTAGTCATATAGAGGTAGTTAGGTATTAGTGAAATAAAATGCACGTGATGTACAAATTTTTCTGTATTTTCTTTTTTGCTATTGCTAGCTGGTGGAAAATGCTTTAGTACCAATCACATAAGCATGCACAGACAGATGTGTTGACAACACTTGAGTTTCCTAGTGTTCTGAGAATAAGTATAAAGGATTATTCAAAAGCTTTATCTGATCCAGAAAGGCTTCAGTGGGCAGACTGCTCATATCTAAATGTACAAGTAACCTTTGCTTTGAGACTCATACTGTGTTCGAGCAGCAGTTCCTTCCTTACCTCTTTCTAAAGAAAATGAGAAATGACAGCTTATGCAAGCCTGTGGCAGTCTGAATTCTACCATAACTTCTTAAAAGACACTTTAAAAAGCAATTAAGCCCTACAAAGCTCTTTTGGTCATGAGAATTCTTAATGGAAATGGAAATACAACTTACATTTCAATGTATTCAAATTCCTTTTCTTGGTCACTGAGAAGTCCAACAATGGACTAGAGTCTATGTTAGCAGTAGCCCTAAGGCTGCCTGAGGAGCTAGGACAATCCAGAAAGCAAGAGAACGCTATTGGAAAAGAAAGTAAACGGGTCTACATTTTATCAAGACAGTATCTCCCAGCCTCAGCCATCACCAGTCCACAAGTTCTTTTGGTCTAAAAATCATGGTTACAATAAATGCATGTAAATACATAAAATATCTTTGAATTAAATGTTATAAAGAAAATAAGTTCAGAGATTTAAAAAAGAACAAAGATTTTTGCAATCTTTTTTTTTCAAGCAGAAACGGTAATCACGGTTCATTTCTCAACTCATTCAATATAATTTTTCTTTTATGCTCAGTCCCAAGCTTCTGGTACCTTTAACAAAATGCAACCCATTCGAGAATAATCTCTGACACTTGTGCGCAGGAGGGAGGCAAACTTTAATATTTTAGGAGGCTGTGGAAATTTCCAAGTGTAACACCTCTGGCGAGCCAAGGTATGCAGATACGGAACACGAAGAAACTATTCAATAAAAACACTAGCAAAAGAATTAGTTTCAGAACTGACAAGAGCAAGGCGTGACCCTGGTGTGAAGACACAAGTGGCACCCGAGGCCTTGCGGCTGGCGCTCTGTGAATGAGCTCTGGGTGAAAAGAGGTGGGCGGGGAGGGCCAAGGTGAGAGCCCGAGCCAAGAGGATGGCCGGGAACCGCACAGGGAGGCTGGGAAGCGGCGGGGAAAGGGATCAGGTCCGGAGGAGTGGCGGTGAAGCTGGATCGCAGCCGGAGGCAGGAGGGCTGAGAGCAGAGAGGAGGGGGTGAGAGTTGCAGGGATGGACAGGGACCAGAGGAGAGGAGGTGGTGAGGGGTGCGGGGAGGGAGAGGGTCCAACTGCAGAAGGACTGGAGGGGTGTGGAGAGGCGCGGGAGAGGGAGGCAGGGGGACCGGGGAGGGATGGAGAGGCGCCGCGGTACCCCGGGGCTGCGCGCCCCATCTCCAGCGCCCGCCGCGGCCACTCACCTGCAGCGTCTCCAGGCAGCCCGCGCCCGCCCGCGCCGGTTGCTAGGACGCGGTAAACACCGGCAGCCGCGCTAGGCGCCGCCCTGCGGAGGAAGCTCGCCGAGTGCTCGGCCTCCCGGTGCTCCCGGACACCACCGCAGTTCTGACCCGAAGCTCTCCACCCTGCACAACACCGCACCGCGCCCGCACTCCAGCCTTCCTGCAGGAGACATTTTCCTTAATCAAACTAGGGAATGTGAAGGGCTCGGAGTAACAACCGAAAAGTGGAACGGAAAGGCCGACAGAAAAGTCATTAGAATATTTTGGGAGGCGCCACAGGCTTCCAGACAAGTGTATTCTAATCACCGCATCTGTCAGAACCCTCAAAAATAGCATCGGACCTCTCAGGGTATCTGAGGCTTTTTCTCACCTCAAAGTAAATGTGATAGGACTCTTAACATTGGCAGAGCTGAGCCTGCAGCAACAGCCTCCTTCAGAAAACTGCAATGAAATGAAAACCATTCTCCCCTCTGTTTTGTAAAATGCTTTTATCTTGGTCTATTAAGATGATTTTTTAAATTTTATTTTATTTTATTTATGTGTATGCAGGGGAGGGGGTACGTGCATCTGAGTGCAGGTGCCAGTGGAGGCCAGAAGAGGGCAGCTGACCCTCTGGAGCTGGAGTTATAGATGGCTGTGAATCCCTGGGTATAGGTGCTCAGAACCAGACAGTCCTCTGCAAAAGCCACAGGGCTCTTACCTGGCTCTCACCTGCTGAGCCATCTCTCTGGTCCCCAGATGATCTTGAGGTCACCAGTAGGCACTCGACCAACAAGGAACCCCTGGGGTCTTGGAGAGTGGGGAAAAACAGGCCATGCTGATGGGGCAGGGAGCTGCGAATGAGCAGCACACTCTCTTAGGGGACAGAGTAGCAATTCTGAAATTGATTCCTTCCCAAAAGTCAAAGAGGCAAATGTAGAATGATATTAAGGTGTTAAACTGCCCCAGACCAAGGACAAAATCTTTCTGTAGAAACCCTGGAGATAGATGCCAGAGCTATTTAGCCTTTCCAAAATTTGATTTGGGTTATTTTCTTAACATTTTGAACGGATCAAAGTTGCTGATGGTGGAATATTTTATGTAATGGAGCCTCCACCTGCAGAAAAATCTAGACTTCTTTACACCTGGTCATTCCAAGAAGGACTTCCCATAATCTGTATGTGTCTTGTCACCTGTCTCCTACCCCTGCAAATAAGAAAATAACTGTCTCCTTCAGTTATGTGTCCCTAAGATCTAGATGGGTAATGGACACACAGAAGGAACAAAATTGACGAATCACAGAATGAATGTTGGTCTGTTCCCTGACATTCGCCGGAAAGGTACCAGAAAGGTGTGGGCTCATGTTCTTAGACAGGGTTGGTAGAACCTGTTTGAGATTCTAAGCAGCTATATTCCTAGAAAAGAGCCTTAACTGC